ATGTTCTTCCTTATTTTATTTTGTTGGAATTACTCCAACCGTTGGTTCTATTCTTTGGTATAGAGGCTCCATAGATAGTTGTGAAAGGTTGTAGTAATGGGGTTGTACACGACATTCATGAAAGTGTATTTATCTTACTTAGTCTCATTGTAATTATTATTATGAAATGGCATCATGTGTGATTTTGAATTGGAAAATATTTTATCATTTAACTTGAAAATGTATAATATTTTCAATAAGCTTTCGCAGTTAAATTGGTTTTCATGCATATGATTTGGGTGCATCACATGGTTTGGTTCGCTCGGTTCGGGTAGTGTGCCAGGTGCCGGTCATGTGGTTTTGGGTCGTGACAGCTCAAGCAACCTATATGGGCACAGCTCATTCGGCCGTTTGGCCCTTACAAAATTTACCTATCGAGACCCTATTGTCACGAAGTAATTTCCTTGAAACAAAGTTGCCATTCGAGGGTAATGCCCCCCAGTATTCGAGGTTGATTCTAAAGAAGCCTCAGATACTGTTGACTCGTTCTAAGTCAGCACGATCAATGGTTGCCTCATTAAAAACCTTGACGAAAAACCCTTTTGGGACAAAACCGGTCTAAGGGAAAAGAAGTGCAACGCGTGCTTTCAGACCTAAAGTCTTCGCCTTGAGGAGTCCATTGTTGTTTCTAATCGAGAAAATGCAGGAGTTAGTTTAAAATATAAATTAAAATGGAGAAGGTCGTACCTTATCAGTAATATCGTTCTAGGTGTGATATGTTCCAATTGCTTGGAAATTGTTCGTCGTTCATTGTACCGAGCTTGTAGGACCCTTTTCGGTGATTTTGAGAACCTAGTACGGTCCTTCTAAGTTCGTACCCAGCTTCCCTTCATTTGGATTTCGAGTGTTGAGGGTGAACTTTCTTAGCACCAAGTTCGCGATGTTGAAATGTCGAAGATTGGCTCTTCGATTGTAGTACCTTTCGATCTGCTATTTTTGAGCAGCCAATCAGACGAGGGCAACTTTGCGTCTTTCATCCAACAATTCTAGGCTCGTATTCATGGCCTCGTTATTTGACTTTTCTGTTGCATATCGAAATCTAATGTTGGGTTCTCTAACTTCAACCGGGATTAGAGCTTCGACGCCATAAACTAATGAGAACAGTGTTGCTTCAGTATTGGATTTCGACTTTGTGTGGTATGCCCATAGAACCTCGGGCAATACCTCTCTCCACTTCTCGTTGGCATCGGTCAATCTCTTCTTAAGTTCTAAACGATGGTTTTATTTGTCGATTTGGTCTGTCCGTTTTCACTGGGATGATAAGACGCCAATAGGATTCTCTTAATCTTGTGATCCTCGAGAAATTTAGTCACTTTGCTGCCGATGAATTGCTTTCCATTATCACACACGATCTCGGAGGGCATACCAAATCGAAATATGATGTGATATGAAGTCTATGACTTTTTTTTCTCTGACTTTCTCGAAAGCCTGTGCTTCAACCCGCTTAGAAAAATAATCAGTTATAAATCGAGCATTACCTAGGGCCGATGGAAGAGGGTCGACGATGTCCATTGCCCACTTCATGAACGACCATGGGATAAGACTGAATGGAGTTGCTCTCCGGGTTGGTGAATCATTGGTGCATACCTTTGGTATTGTTCGCATTTTTGAACGAACTCATTATCATCCTTCTCCATATCGACCAATGGTATCCTACTCTAATTACTTTATGGACCAATGATTCGGCACCGGAGTGACTTCTTTAAGTGCCTTCATGAACTTCCTGTAGGACATAGTCGGTGTCTCCTGGTCCCAAACATATTGCCAATGGCCCATCGAACATCCTTCTGAATAGCATTCCATCCTCGGCCAAAGTGAACCGCGATGCCTTCGTGCGTAGAGTCCTTGACTCCTTCGGATCTGATGGGAGTTTCCCATTCTATAGGTATTCAATGTACTTGTTTCTCTAATCCCAAGTCAGACTTGTAGAGTTTATTTTAGCGTGGACTTCTTCGATTGCAGATCTCGAGAGTTGTATGATAGTACTCGAGTTAAGTTCGGCATCTTCGACCGATGACCCCAAGTTTGCAAGGGCATCAGCCTCACTGTTCTATTCTTGAGGTATTTGTTATAAGGTCCACTTTTTAAACCGATTCAAAGTTACCTGTAGCTTATCCAAGTATCTCTGTTTTCGATCTTCTCGGACTTCAAAAGTTCTGTTGATTTGGTTTACCACAAGTAGGGAATCACATTTGGCCTCGATTTCCTCTGCTCCCAAACTTTTAGCCAGCTCGAGACCTGCAATCACGGCCTCATACTCGATCTCACTGTTAGTTAACTTCGAAGATTTGATAGATTATCTAATTACGTTACCCGTGGGCGGCTTCAAAACGATGCCCAGCCTGGACCCTTTCACATTCGAAGTGCCATCTATGAAAAGGGTCCACCCCCGATGATGTACCCAATTTTAACAGTAGTTTCTTTTCGACCTCGGGCACGAGGGTTGTCATGAAGTCTGCCAAGATTTGAGACTTGATGGCCGTTCGGGGTTGATATTCGATATCATACCCGCTGATCTTGATGGTCCATTTGGCCAATCGACCTGAAAGTTCGGGTTTGACCAAAATATTGCGAAGAGGATAGGTAGTTACAACATAAATTGGGTGATATTAGAAATATGGTTTTAATTTTCTAGAGGCGCTTATTAAAGAAAGCGCTAATTTTTCTAAGTGTGGATATCGGGTCTCGGCCTCACCTAAGGTCCGGCTTACATAGTAAACAGGAAATTGCATACCTTGCTCTTCTTGAACTAGGACCTCACTTACCAATATTTCTGAGACTGCTAATGCTCATCCACTTTCTGGGTGTGAAGTGTGGCGGGCTCGATAGGTATCATTTTAATTCTTCTAAGGCTTGTTGGCATTCCGGGGTCCATGCAAAATTTCTCTTCTTCTTAAGCAGTGAGAAGAAGCGGTGACTTCTATCTGATGACCTCGAGATGAATCGCCCTAGGGCGACTATGCGTCCCATTAACCTTTGTACGGCCTTGACATTATCCACAACCATGATATCTTTAATGGATTTGATTTTATCGGGGTGGATCTCGATCCCCCGATTTGATACCATCAAGCCAAGGAATTTGCCCGAGCTGGCCCCGAACACACATTTCTCTAGATTGAGCTTCATATTGTACTTTCTTAGTATGTCGAAGGTCTCCTTTAAATATTTCAAATGGTCCTCTGCTCACAGGGACTTAACTAACATGTCATCAATACAAACTTCCATTAATTTTCCTATTTGTTCTCCAAACATTCAATTTACCAGGCCTTGATAAGCTACACCAACATTTTTTAATCCGAACGACATTACATTATAACAATAAGTGCCATATTTAGTGTAAATGAAGTCTTTTACTGATCCTCCAATTTCATCTGTATTTGATTGTACCCGGAGTAGTCATCGAGAAAACTCGTAGCCGTTTGTGACATCGATCATGCGATCAATATTCAGCAAAGGAAAAGAATCCTTAGGGTAGGCCTTGTTCAAGTCCTTATAGTCTATGCATATTCTAAGTTTATTTCCCTTCTTTGGGACCACCACTATGTTTTATAACCATTCGGGATATTTTACTTCCCAAATGGACCCTATTTTGAGAAGTTTGGTTACCTCGTCCTTGATGAATGCATGCTTAACCTCGGACTGGGGCCTTCTATTTTGCTTTACTGGATAGAATTTTGGGTCCAAGCTCAGTCGATAGGTAGTGATCTCTGGAGGGCTCTCTGTCATGTCGAGATGGGACCAAGCAAAGCAATTCATGTTAGCTGTAAGGAAATGAACAAGTTTTTTCCTGAGCTCGAGGGTTAGCCTCGTGCCCAGGTTTACCTTTCGTTCTAACTGATGTTCGGTCAATGTGATTTGCTCTAGCTCTTTGACCATTGATTTGGTGGCGTCGGAGACATCGATAACTACAAAAGATTGAGGTATCCCATAGTCGTCATCGTCATTGGTCTCCCGCTTCTCCTATTGGGTCGAGGCTGGCGTCTATGGTTGCTATTTAGCCTCTTGTATTCACTTTAAGTCTGATCCCTTTGTTGAAGAAAGTGCTGACACTGGTATTACTTCATTAATTGCAAACATCTCCTTGGCATCATGTTGTTCCTCGTACACTGTTCTGACTCCTTCAGATGTTAGGAACTTCATAACTTGGTGAAGCGTCGAGGGTACCGCCTTCATGTTATGGATCCAAGGCCTTCCGAGCAGGGAAATGTATATCATGTCACCCTCGATCACATGGAACTTTGTTTCTTGGATAGTCCCGGCCACGTTCACTGGCAAAACAATCTTACCTTTAGTAGTTTTGCTTGCCATGTTGAAACCGTTAAGTACTCGGGCTGCGGGCACAATATGGTCTTGTAGGACAAGTTGTTCTACTACCCTCGATCGAATAATGTTGGTTGAGCTACCTGGATCAACCAAAACATGTTTAACTTGAATATTATTCATAAGGACAAATATTACCAGTGCGTCGTTATGAGGTTGTTCGGTTCCTTCCGCATCCTCATCATTGAAAGACAAGTTTCTTCCGGTAAGTAGTCCCGTGCTCATTTTTCCCTTGTGGTCGTCACCTTGGTGCGTTTAAATATTGGTCCTTAAGGAATGTCGACCCCTCCAACGATCATGTGAATCACGTGTTGTGTCTTTTCTTGCCCATTCTACCTGTTTGATTCTCTATTTTTGAAGTGATTCTTGGCCCAATCACTTAAGAATTCTCGAAGGTAGCCCTTGTTGAACAATCGGGCTGCTTCTTCCCTTAGCTACCTGCAATCTTCTGTTTTATGGCCATGGGTACCATGATACTTGCATATTTGGTTTGGATTTCTCTGGGCCGAATCGATATGCAGAGGTCGAGGCCACCTGGTGTCTTTGATACATTGAAGTTATATTCTGACAATCGAGGTACTTATTTGTTCCCGACATCCCTATCGAGACCACTTTTGCTCATGAGCCCTTGGGAGCTCTGTCCCCGATCATTCCTTCTATCACTCCAAACGAGGTTGTGTTCAGGCCCGTTATTTCTTCGATCTCCATTGTATGGCTGATATCGGTCTCTGTTTGATCGTGGTTCCGGGTCAACGTCCCTTTTAACTCTATCCATGGACCTGTTAGGATAGATCGAACCGATCAGAGCCCCTAGTTGATTATCATCGACCCTGATCTTCGACTTATATCAATTATGTACATTAGCCCAAGTAACAGCTAGATATTTAATCAAATTCTTCTTCAACTACTGTGAAGCTACGGAACTTCGAGTGTTGAGACCTTGAGTAAAAACTTGGACAGTCCAATCATCGCGATCGGTGGCAAATCCATTCGCTCTATTTGGAATCGAGTTACAAATTCCCTGAGCATTTCATTATCTTTCTATCTTGCCTTGAAGAGGTCCGACTTACTGGTGGCGACTTTAATGGCCCCGACGTGTGCCTTTACAAAAGCATATGCAAGCATAACAAATAAAGCAATAGAGTTAGGTGGTAAGTTATGGTACCATATCATAGCACCCTTCGATAGTCTCCCCGAATTTCTTTAACAACACGGATTCAATCTCATCATCTTCCAAGTCATTTCCCTTGATGGCGTATGTATATGAGGTGACGTGTTTGTTTGGATCTTCCATCCCATTATACTTCAGAATCTCGGGCATATGGAACTTCTTTGGGATTGGCTTCGGAGCCTCACTCGGGGGGAAAGGCTTTTGGACAAACTTTTTGGAATCAAGTCATTTCAGTACCGGTGGTGCCCCCGGGATTTGATCGACCCTAGAGTTATAAGTTTCCACTTTCTTATTATTTTCCTTGATCTTCTTTTCCCTTGTTTCGATTTGGTTTGTCAGTTCCTCGAGCATTTTTACAATAGCAGGCTTGGTCTCCGATTCTCCTCCATTCGATCTCTTCGCCACCAATTCAGCTCTATGAACAATTTCTTATGATGGATCAAGCTCGATCCTGCTCGGTGCACGGTTCTGATTTTGGAGTTGCACTATTGTGGCTTGCAGGGTTTGTAACATTTCGAATATCATTAAAAGGCTAATCCCACCTTCTTCACAGCCCTGTGTGTTTTGATCGGCTATTCAAGCATCCCTACAGACGCTATTTTCAAGATCGATGCCCAAATTTCATTAATGGCAATATGGGAGCTGATGTCGATTGGATCCACGGCCGGAGCTCCATTGAGGTTGATTGGAAGTACTCCATTTCCTGGGGCAGCTATGTTATCATTCTCGCCATGGAGACCAAGGCCATCGTTTGTGTGTGTGGGTGTTACTTGAGTGTTTGACATGTTGATCCTGGAATCAAATATACTTCAAAGAACAAGCGTAAAATTATGTGTGTTATGAAAATTGTACCAGGCAATCACTATTATCCTTAGCCCCACGATGGGCGCCAAACTGTTTGCCCTTAAAATTGGATAATAATTACTTATAAGTGATTTTAAGGATATGTGATTTCACTTGGCACAAACTGATAAATGTAATACTTAATGATAGAAATTACAGTAAAATAAAGCAAACAATTGTGATGAGCAATTATGACCCTTGAGCTAATTGCCCTCGAACCAACTGAACAAGCTATTGAAAGTATGAACTGAACAACAGAGCTTGTAAGAGAAAAAAATACAATATATTGCTTTGATATGCGTGAATGTAAGATGATTACAAAATAATTTAGACTCACTTTATATAGTAGAAGAATCCTATTTATGGTACAATTTTAAATACAGAAGTAAATTCCATGATAGGCTAAACATCCGATCTAACTTGATATGTGCCAAGATTTCCACCATGATCCTCGCCTGATAACGGATATCTCGGCTTTCTGTTATCCGTCGTAGCAAGCCTCCTTCGATCTTGCTCGATCTCTTTCTTACTTCGTTCTTGATCACAACTGGCCTCGATCTCGATCGACCATTGATTCACGAGCTTACCAATCCATCTTCGTACCTCGTTCCGGCATAACCGAGGCCGAGCCTTGATCTTCTTTCCCTATTTAGGTCAGTTGTACAAAATTGGGCAAGCCTGATTTTGATCGTATACAAAAAGACTTTATGACAGCAACTTTCTGCATTTTTTTAGGGTAAGTTTAGAAGATAGTTTCTTTTGTTTGATCTCCAGATGCGGGTGCCTTCCTATTAATTGGTCATTATTATGTATCATTGATGGACTATAGAGTCAATGTTGTACCTTTAGGGTGAAGGAGCACTTTCAATGATTAATTTCTCTTCAAAATAAGTTTAGACAAAATTCTTGTTTTTCTTATTCGCAATTTAGCTTGAATAAAATGGCTCAAAATTTAAATGGAATCTTACATAAATATCCCAAATAAGCTCCAACTTACCAACTTCTAGCATAAATCATATACTTACCAAAATAGAGTCAAACACATATAAAAGTTGAAAATTCAAATAAAAAAGGTTATTTCTCTTCAAGAATCACACACAAAGATCTCATTCCATATTTTCAAGTGTGAATAGCACCATTAGATGCAAGACGGAAAGAAAAATTCATAGATGAGGTAACAAATAAGATGATGAAATATAAATATATATATATATATATATACACACACACACACACACACATACAAGATTCCAAAAATCTAAGCAAAAAAAAAAGATTTTTTTCAATGGGTATGGTTGAAATTCATTAAAAATATATAGATGAGTCAATATACAAAATTTGAGAAAGATTGGAGGTGATTTGGACTGATTTGGTATCAAACTCCGTAGTTAAAATCGAGTCAAAAAATTCTTCTGCGAGACATATATCACGCATGTATCACAAACACAAGTATACATGGATATACATGTGATACACATTTGATATAACTATGATATATATGCGATACATAAATGATACATGGTGTATCACACATATTATTTTTTTCATGTTCATCTTCTATTTCAAATTTTCAATTCAAACTACCTCAAAACTCCACCAAATTATCCTAATACTGAGATTCAAGCTCATTAAGATGTACCCAATCTATTCTAATAACACTCACTCAAAAGAAAGTAAAATTTTGACTTTTTTTGCTACAAATAACTAATTGGCTAATGTTGGTAATAGTTAACTAATATTAGTAATATTTTATAAATTGATCAATTTTATAATAATCTATTTATAAATGAGTATAGTTGGTAGTTTTCCTAATTTAAATTTGTAACTACTCTTGATGTTCTAACATATTGTATGTACTTCTCCCTTTTATGTTGTTCATAGATAAAATCATGTAAGAAAAATAGCTTGCATTATTAAATATTTTGTTTAAATTTAAATGTCTTATTTTTATAATAGTCCATAAATATAGGCCTAATTATAAGTATGATAATTGGTTTTTGAGCCATACATTTAATGTGGTTAAAATAGTACGGGCTAACCAGTTTTCGGACTGGTCATTCAAAAATAACCAGCGTTTCCAAAATCATTGAAAAATGGCCAATATTTTGTTGCAACAAGGACCGGTACAGGGTAATATACTGGAGATCGGTGCACCTGTGTATTAACTTCCAGCATATTATGCTGAAACTCCAACACGCGGAAAGTTCCAGCATAATATACTAGAGATGGGAGCACCTGTGTATGAACTTTCAGCATATTATACTGGTCCGGTATATTATACTGAAACTCTAGTATATTATGCTGGAGTTCCAGTATACTTATGTTGTAACTCCATTATAATATGTTGGAGTTCCAGTATACTTATGCTGGAACTCCATTATAATATACTGGAGTTCCAGTATACTTATGCTGGAACTCCATTATATTATGCTGGAGTATTTTTCCGATTTTGAACAGTATTTTCGTTCTGTTTTGTCATTACATGAAAAGTGACTAAATTTCGATTACTTTTGAAACTGTGGCTATTTTTAAATGACAACTTGTAAATCTGTCTATTTTTGCATTTCTCCCCTTAATGTGCTTAGTGGTTGTGGTGGTGTCATGGTTGGTGTAGGCTCAACTCAACGAAGCCAGTAAGAGGAGAGCCTATAAGGGTTTCATTAACTGCAGCTAGATTCCTTCTCTAGCCCTTATATAAACACACATTCAGTGATGCCGCCATATTGGAGAAAATGTAATAAAGAAAAAGACTTATAGCCCGTTTTGCCAAGTTGCAAAAATCAGCTTATTTTGAGAAGTGTTTTCCTCAAAAGTACTTTTGGTGAGAAGTAGTTTGTGTTTGGCTAATTAGTTTGAAAAGCACTTCTGAGCAGCAATTAGTGTTTGGCCAAGCTTTAAAAAACTGTTTCTAAGTGTATTTTTCTCAAAAGTGCTTCTCAAAAAAGTGCTTTTGGAGAGAAGCTACTTTTTCTGCTTCTCCAAACTGCTTCTGCTTCTCCTCAAAAGCATTTTTTTTCCTTCCAGAAGCTTGGCCAAACACCTCAAATTGAGGCCAAAAGTGCTTTTGGCCAAAAAAAAAAGAAGAAGCACTTTTGGCCAAAAATAAGCTTGGCCAAATAGGCTATTAGTCCTTCGTAATATTGTATGGCAGGTACACAATTATTCTTGCTATTATAAGTTGTATAGTATCCTAATATCATATATTTGATCT